CGACAATAATATATCTATATACATTAATTTACCCCCCCCCCCTCCTCTCTTTTTTTGCGGAAAAGTTATTATTTTGACCTGAACATAGTCTAATGTAGAGGAAAGTCTGGGCTATAAAATGAGACCACTCCCAACTCTCCATGACCTTCCTTGAAGAAATTATGAAGGTTTTGAATTTTTCCTTCAACGCCTAAAAAATTGAGATTTTTTAGGTTTGTAAACTTTTCTCTCCTTTCCTATATATTCAAAATTTTTTCTTATATACAGCATGATAGAAGAAAGTGTGCTCTTCAAAATAAGATGTTTTCCAGAATTTCTCGATGAGTTATACTCAAAGATATAAGCGTAGCCGCAAATGCCCTGAAAAACAGAGCCCCATATACAATGTGTTTGTCTCACTATGCGTTTTTTCAATGATTCCTTGAATCGGCACACATTTACGATCCCTCGAAAAAATGGTCCGATCGAGCTCAAAATTTTACCACAGATACTTCAGACCCTATCTCAGGTTCGTTTTCTTTAAAAGCGTTTTCGACTTCAACTTTCGGCGTGAGAAGGTTTTCAAAATGAAAAAGCGATTTTTTATATGGAATTTTCGGATATCTCGAGAAGGAAAGAATATTTTTCGAAAAGAAAAAAAAGAACCTAAGATAGGATCTTAAGTATCTGTGGTAAAATTCTAAGTTCGAACGGAATATTTTTTCGAGGGATCGTAATGTGTGCCAATGAAAACTGAAATTTTCCAGAAAATCCATGGAAGAACATGTCAGAAAATTCTGGGCAAAAATACATCGATTTTCTTTTTCGATGTTCTATCTCTGGTATAAATTAGAAACCCGATCCGATATCGACTTCCCTAGTTTCCAAGAGGGTAAAAAAGGACGCGGGGTACCCTTAAGTCAGATTTAAGTCTCCGTTTTGTAGACTTAAGTCTAGACTTAGTTAAGTTGAGCACTTAAGAATTTTTATGAAACACTCTCCTATTTCTCGAAAAAACTTAAGTATTCCACTTAAGTGGATTTTTAAGGGAAAAATTAAGTAGTACTTAAAAGGGACACATGTCAGCACCTTCGTCAGGTACAAATTGTACTGATGGTGGAATTATGTTGTATCGTTAACAAAGAAATTCCAGGAAGATTTCGCAGAAACTTGATTGACTCGACTACCGTAGGTTTTTGCCCTACTCGGCGAATGTCAAGTAAATTGCGTTCTATCTCTTGCAGCTTTGACAGAAAGGTAAACAATCATCCTCAGTTGTAATGAAACGAAAATGTTAGAGGACTTCTCCGGTTGTGAAAGAAAAATACGAACGTCATCAAAAGTAAGTCATTTTGTTTTTCTACTATCTTTTCAAATAAAAAAATTCTCTTCAAACTTGCCATGAACTTTTCAAGCTCTCTCCTTCCATTTTACGGCCCCGAATCAACTAGATGACTTTACTACTTTTCTCCAAAGCACTGGCATTCGCCGACAACGATGTTCAAACAACTAAAACAAAAAGCTTTTCTTCTTTCGGCTGAATTTTCCTATTCTTGTGGATCCATTTGGTTTACTGACCATTTTTGGCTCTTGGCAGTAACGGAAGAAGGTTTTTGACAACTTTGAAAAGTATAAAGAACAGAAACTACAATGAGGAAACAAATAGCAGTATAGAAGAATGTGAGAATAAAAGCATCTTAGTAGTGAGTAGTGCATGCTTGTTGTCGAAGTAAATTCTTGTTTGGTTTATTTTTTGTGGCGCAAATACAGGAAAAGTGTAGGTTAAACTGAGCCTAACCTCCGGGCATTTGTTAAAAACCTCGTCACCTTAGAGAAAGGTCTGAGGCACAACTGCTCACAAGTTTATCTAAATCTTACCAGCGGCTCAGGATCCTACACCCGATCTGGAAACTTGGAAAAGAGTATATGTGTCTCCCCTCAAGACCGGTTGCGCGCTAAACAGCTCGAGCTCAACAGGCTGGACGTCGAGCCTATCTCGAGTAAAGTTTTTTCCCTTTTTCGTTCTTTTATCAAGAGAAGTTTCTATTGGCCAGAAAAATGACCCGTAACTCGTTTTTCCGATTTCATTAACTCAAAAGAGAGTAATAAAGTGTTTTTTGAATGTAAAGATGATGTTCGATGACTTTGAGTCAAGAGCAAAAAAGATCGAAAATTGAATTTTCCATCGAATGTCCTCCGTCTTGTCCAAATAAAACGCTCGTTCTAATAACGCTTGAGAAAACTACCTTCCTGGTAATTTCTAGTTTTAACTTTAAATGTTTTTATTACCAGACAGGCAGGACGCTCGATGGGAAATTTTAAAATTTCTATCTTTTTGCCCTGGACTCAAGGTTATCGGATCTCATCTTTACATTCAAAATTTCAATAAAAAACACTTTTCCACGCTAATTTGAATTAATGAGATCAAAAAATGAATCACGGGTCATTATTTTTTTGGAAAATTCGAATTTTTGAAGAAACCCCGCTTTTGTGTAAAAAATTCAATTTTGGGGAAATATTTTCTTGAGAACACTTTTTTTGTAAAAATCCGATGTTTTGGAAAATTTTGATTCTCATTGTATAATTTGTCTGTTTGTTCTTCCAACGCACTTCGATATATTAAAAATGAAGCCTTTTCCAAATTTTTCTAACGGTCGGAAGCTTCGTTTAAAAAAGAAAAAGTACAAAAAGACCCGAAAATATCTAGTTTTTCCAGTTTTAGACGCAAAACTCCGCGCTGGAACTGTTTTAAAACGTCAAAGTGCGTTTTTCTACTGAGGATTCGTTGCTCTTTCAATCTACGTCACTTTTGGAAAACTCAGATGTTTTCAAAAGTGATCGTATCGGATTCCCCGTCGATTTTTACTTAGGAACCCAAGTTTTTATGTCCCTTCAGTCAAAACTGAGTGATTAGTACGATCATGAGTTGACCGATTTGGCTAAGAGGATTTTCAAAATAAACGACGCATTAAGTTCTGGTTCGATTCAACGCGCGTCGAATGGCGTCAGACTTAAGCACGCACCAGTACCAATCATTATTGAAGATATTGTACAATATTATTGGGTAGTATTGGGTTCCACAATACACTGGATTTCAACTTTTTAACCTTAATATCGTTTACTTTCATAAAAACGTGAGGAAGCATATCCCGATTGGGACTTTGCTAAATGCCCTAATATTGATTATTAATCGGTGCATGCCTAACTGGGTTATTTTCTGATTCAGAACGGGATATAACGCATGCTTCTGTACTGTAAAAGTAGGCCGAACTCAAGTGACCCAATAATATTGTGAAAACCCAATATATTGGATGACCAATATTATTGGTCCTAATAGACTGGGTGACCAATATTATATATATATTGTATTGGTGCATGCCTAGTCAGACTCAAGGTTCCAGCTATCAAGACAAAAAAGTAGATAGAGTTGCGCGGAGAGGCCGAGGAGTTTTCCATTATTTTTTCCCGAACCGAGCCTTATGGAGTGTAGCTTGGGAAGCTACATATCTAGAATCAGTTTTAAATGGAGAATCCAAAAACAAATGTCTCAGAGATGTATCTCTAAACGGGAGAAATCTCGAGATATTTTCCTCATTTTTGAGCTTTCCGACACAAGTGCCACGCTGCTATCTGCGACCATTTTCAAGAATATCTAAATTGACATGGCAAGTGCGGATGTGTCCGAGTCCCATTCCATTCGCAGACCCTTTGAATCGTACATGTCGTGAATCGGTTTGTTTTGAATCAAGCATCAGAAGAAAAATTCAACATCAGCCTGAGATTGACTGCAAAATTCTTTAGTCCAAGGTCAAGTCCAAATCGACATTGAACTTTTCATCTGACGTCTGATCGGCAACAAACCGTGTCGTGGCATATTCGATTCAAAGGGTCCTCAAATCGAACGGGTCCTGGGCTCGCTCAATCTTTGAAAAAATAATGATCGCCATTGCATGCTACTACAATACTAATAAGTGTTCGCTTAAAAAGTATTTTTCTAAACGGCATTTTTTTTGTCGCAAAAAGATGTTTTGTCTGCAATAGCATAGTTGCGCCGGTCTACTTCTTTTTCCCATTGTCTAACACACTTCTATTGTTTGATTCAAAATTACCATTGTATCTATTGAATAGCATTGTCCTTATCTTGTTTCATCAGCGATTCTTTGAGCACTTGCGAAGGACAACTATCAGTGTAACTGTATCGTATATTATTGGCATCGTATATTATTGGTTATATTATTTGACAATCAGTCTATTCAATTATCGATCTTCGTGTTGTCGAATCCCGATCTACTGGAGTAGTTCGATCTTGATTGTACATCTCCAGTTATTTATGCATAACTTATTTTTGTTTTATGGAGTTTTCTGGCGGAAAATTATCGAATGTGTCCACTCCAGCATCATGTGGAGAATCATGATTATAAACATCTGTGATACATATATGATAACGAACCGAGCAAACAATGGTATGATGGTAGTGATGATGAGTGTGTGAGAAGATGTTGAATAAACTCACATATTTGCGTACGTGTGATTATTTTGTGTTCTTTATTCTCGTCAACATCATGAGATACAAGAGCGATTGTTTTTTGTCGAAGGTCTTTCACTTGTTAATATATTAATTCATTTTAATGATCTTTATGATGAATCGGTGATAGTATAAAGTTTTATGATTAGTCCTGTTGTTAGCATCTAAATAAGAATTAGCAGCATATCACATTGTTTTCAAAATGTGAAGTATTGCGTAATACATTCTAAAATTAAAAGCACCAGTTTAAAATCTACCTGGTTGAAACCTAATTTCATATCCACTCAAACTCATCTCACAAAATAAAGAATTGATAACGACAAGATCAAAAATGTCACAACGGATAAAATGTACATTTCACTGAATCAGATGGCTGTACAACTGAATGATATTTGATTTTGAAATGAATATCTATAGCGGGGTTACATAAATCAAAACATATGATAGGCGTAAAAAGTTAGTTTTTGCTATTGTCAATTATCTTAATCTTAATCACAATTTTTCACAAGTCGTGGGCTTATAGAATGGATTAGTAATTGGACAACTACTTTGTTTATCTTACATGTGTACAGGTTATAGAACTTATTTATCATCAGTTTAATTATTATGTACAAGAAACTACTCAAATAAGGTTATCACTCTAATAATTTCATCAAAGGTTTTTCGACAAACGTCGCTCGAAAAATCTTATTTGTTCTAAGAAACAATTGTTCAGAGAGGTTGAATCAAATTTACTTAATTTTCTTATAACTCATATCTTGATTTAAACGTTTGTTTTTATCCATATCGACGGTTTCAACACATAATCCGTCTTTATTTCTTAGTAACATTGCACCATCATTATCTTTATAATTTTATCATACCATTTACATTCATACATGAAAATTTATTTAAAGAAAATTCTCCTTCTAATTATCCAAATCAGTAATTCTCTTCTTCCTTTATCACTAATAATTCTGTATGCGTTTATTATTCGTGTGCATGTATGTATCACAATTAAACATCAGAACCACAATATCATTTATGCATCATTAGAATAGCATCTTCAAGTTAGTGAACCACTAGTACACATGAAATGGTAGCCTTAAGATGAAAACTTCGAAACTTCACTATCTGTGCATGGTTCTTAACTGCTGAGCTGCGATGATATTTACACCTTATTTTCTTTTCATGTTGTATCATACCAAATAGAGACGGTCAACCTGAATCTGATGGTCCAAACGTATAATAAGCTTCGGAAATACTAATATCTATACAGTTCACTCTAATTCTTAAAGGTGACCAAGTTAGAGGTGGACTTGGACCTGGACCTGTCTCTGTCAGACCTAGGCTTATAACCTAGAACTGGAAAACGGACCTATGATCTGTGGCGCGGATCGGGATATGAGCTCCGAAGTGAACTTTCAAGCCTAATGCAAATAACTCTAAATGGGGCCGTTTTGACACTAACTATTATCTTGAAAGAAGAGTGCTCAAATGAAAATTGTAATAAAGAAAACGGTGCATTTAATGAACTAAACTTCTAATGAAGTCTTGGCTTTAGGTGTTACCACTTTATAGTTTTTTGCACAATGACACGTAAAATGAGTAAAGTTATTGTACTTAAAAAGAGAATTCAGACATAGATAAATTGCAGCAACAAGGCCTACATGAAACAGTATACATGTTAAATTTGATTAGTTATATATCTGAAAAATGAAATGAGTGTTAGTAGTATTTCGATTCCGTGTAATAAGAGTTTTCCAGCGTCTACTGAATTTTGAATTTGAGCAATAATCGTTATTGGTACACCATGTATCCAAGCTGCGAACTAACCTAAATTATTTACATTAGGCTTGAAAGATCACTTCGGACACCAAATCCAGGTCTGTTTTTTCGCGTCCAGGTCTGATCGAGACAGATCTCAGCCATAGGTCACGTCCAGCGGATCTGACGATCTCTGATACCGAAGTGTTCAACGGCGCTACTTTCCTATGCTACAGGGTTAATAATCGATCGTTTTCATAAATTTTCGAACACTAAAAAAATCAAGGAAAGTCTAGACTTTGTAGCGAAAGTCTAGACAAAGGTTTATTCTTAATCAACAAAACAAAAAAAAAAGAAAAGTGTTGTATTCCAAAGCCAACTGTAAGAAAGAAAAAAAGCGAAGCTGTTATCAAAAAAATGTTTCTAATTAAAATTCATAAATTGTTTGTAGGAGTATGATATTCACAGATATCTGTGATCTTTGATCTTGGATGTGATCGCCAAAATATGTATATATATATATATACATAACTTCGCAAAAAACAGAGATTGCACCAATGTTTTAAATCACAGAATTAACTAGAATACATGATTAAACGCTTTTATAAAATAACGTTTTCTTTAGCACTGAACTAGACTATCAAAAAAATACTAAAAATTTTAAGAAACAGAACAAACAACTGTTTGAAAAAAGCCCTGTTCATATGCATAAAATAACACATATCCGATATTATCACCATATGAGTTTACTTATTTAACTACCAAATGTAATACCAGCTGATTCGTATACTTTGTAGATCTTTTCAATTGCGTTAACATAAGCTGCCGTACGAATATCAAGTCCAAGATCAAACCTCATGGCTGTTTGCATAATGGCACGTGCTGCTTTTTCCATTGTATGTTCTAGACCAGAGTGTACTAAAATCGACAGAAAAAAGAATACCATTTAGAATAATTCACTAAGTTTACTCTTGCATGTCCTACCGATATCTTTTTCTGATGCGCCCTAAAACAACAAAAGAGCAGCTCCGTATTAATTTCAAGAATAATAATATAAGCTTTTAAGGATTGCTTCTTCTGAAGTACAAGGAAGTTGAGTACCATTAGAAAACTTTTCATACATAAACTATCTTAAAACACAAGGTCAGTTTTGTGTAAAGAAAGACTCGGTTACGTGAACATTTGCAGTCAACAGAGATTACGATCTAAGGCATATTCTTATCAGTAGAATCAGAGAAAATTGCGCACTCATTTACACGGAAACTTCATTTCCATCCAAAAAAAGAATGATATATGGATATTTTTTGAACAATTCGAAAAAGGAAAGAACTAGAGGGACGCAGCTGTGATTCATGTGACCCCAAACCCAAAGAAGTAGGAGTCCTGGGACTGCCGAAAAAACCTGAATTCCGGACAAATCACTGATTTTCAAGATCTCGCTTAGATCTCATTTTGAAGAAACACTTTTCTATCCACTGATGAAAAAATATTACTAGTCTACTATTTTAAATTTTCGACTTATGCAGAAATTTTACAAAGATCCGTGCAAAAACCCGCTTTTGAGAAGCAGTCTAAAAAGCTTTCCGTTTGCAAAAAGATGCTGCATCAGTTCCTCTCTCGATTAACGAAAGCTGCATTCCCCTAGTTCGTTCCGTTTTCGAGTTATTCAAAAAACATCCATGTTGTTTTTGGATAGACAATACTTACGGCCATTCGTTTGTAAAACTCGTCGCTTGGTATCTAAAAGTAAAAGTAAACTTATAATGCACTGCTTTTTTACATAGGCTTTTCTACAACTTACAATTGCTATTTTACCACCCATACGTCCAAATTTAGCTTCAAGTGAACTTTGAACGCTTTCTTAAAGTATATATTCGAATATTTAGTTTAAAAGGAACAGATGTAAAAGTAACGTCGTAGTTCATACCTAATAAGCTATAATTAGTATCACGTTGATATTTAAACGTCAAACGTCCGTAACTAACATGACTTAAATTTTTTAACCATTCAAAATATGAAACCGTAACACCACCAGCATTGATATACAAATCTGAAGAAAAAAAACAAGACTTTTGCAATTAATTCATTGACAGCTTGTATATTTACCTGGCAGAACTAAAATATTATTTTTCATCAATATTTGGTCAGCTTCTGGCGTCGTTGGTCCATTGGCACCCTAAATTCATGTAACAGTTTTTAGAATACCTAACGACGATAAATCTGACATATAACATACTTCAGCAATAATACGTGCTTGAATGCGTCCAGCATTTTCTGATGTGATTTGTCTCTCACTGGCTGCCGGTACGAGAATATCACATGGTTCGCATAATAATTCTTCTCTTGGCTCTTTTTCATAGGGTTTAGCACCCGGGAAGCCTTTTATTGTTCCGTTGTCGAATTTATATTCTTCCAGCGCTTTTGGATCAATACCGTCTGGATTCACTAGTGCACAATCGTATTCTAATATCCCAATACATCTAGCACCGTGTCGTGTTAAATAACGCATTGAATGTAAACCCACATTACCAAAACCCTATAAGATACAACAAACAAGCAAACGCATGTAGCAGAAGTACTCATGCTTTAAGTACTTGAACAATAAAGGTCTTCCCAGCAAGACCTGGCAATAATCCAACCATGCCCCTAAGAATAAAATAAACATAACGTCTACCGACAGAATAAACTAGGTTTTTCTTACATACATATAAGAAGCTTCGTTCACAAAATTATCAACTCCGTGATATAGACCACGGCCCGTAGCGGATGTACGTCCGTGAATACCACCACTGCCAATCGGCTTTCCCGTAACACAACCGTAGGCATGTATATCTTCCCAACCGACCTAAAAGTGAAAAATCATGAATTACCGTAAGCAAAAAAAGGTGTACAAAAAATATAATAATTTCTCACTGTTGAAGCATAAGTATCAGCAATCCAAGCCATTTCTCGTTCACCGGTGCCCATATCAGGTGCAGGAACATCGATACCAGGACCGATGAAACCCTTTTTAGCCAGTTCAACTGTTAAACGACGAGTAATCTTTTCTAATTCTGCTTCTGACCAGTCTTTTGGATTGATTTTGACACCCGCTTTCGCGCCTCCAAACGGTACATCGACACATGCACATTTGAATGTCATTAGAGCAGCTAAAGCTTTTACTTCATCCAAATTGACATCCAACGAGTAACGAATACCTTTTACAGAAAGAAAACAGATTATAGTTGCAAACAATAACGAAATAGACATCCCACCAAAGAATGTTTACTTCTTTCCTACTAAGCATAGAAAAAAAGCATTTCATAGTTTTAATATTTAAGGACTCACTAAAGAGTTAAAAATACGATATGAAATTTACTGTAATCTCTAAACCACACTGAGTCTTGTGGAAACGTTTGAGTTCAAAAAAACTGTGTGAAAATCTAGTAAAAAGCGAAATTAAGTGTACGGACCGTGCTTTGGTTGTTCTCATACAATATTAAAAAATTCATAAACTACTTAAAATAAGTCCAGAGGACGTTCAAACTTGATGTTGTACATGCTTACCACGGTTTCAAAATTGACGTGAGCAAAAGTGTACTTTTAGTAATCAAGTTTTCTAAACGACTAGATGAAAAAACCAGCGCAATTTTTAAAGATCTTTAAATCATGGAGTCAGTAAAGATTGTTCAGGGTGTAAAAGTGAGTATGCTATCAGGTTTTAAAAAGAAGTCTTTTGAACTGATTTTAAATGGTTTTAATTTCAAAATTTTTTTTCTCTCAGTACAAGAAACGTTCAGGCTTTCTTATTCAATCAAAAGTTATTCAAAAAATGGTCATGATCATTATTTTAGTGTGCAAACAGTATATAATTTACCTCCTTTGCATGGTGTGCGATGCTGACTATGCTGTGCTCTCCATGCTTCAATAACGTGTAGCTCTCCATTATCTCGTTTAATTGGAAAACGTATTTCGAGTACATGATTACATGGTTTGATTATTTTTAATATTCCACGAACTTGTTTTCGTTTAAGATCATCTGGTAATTTTGACCTCATTTCATCGACTAGCTTGTCTTCTAGAATTGCAGCTGCACGATCATAAAATAATTCGACTTGACGATAGAAACCGAAATGTGGCGCTGAGTTTGTAGTAGAAGTGGAAGGATGAGACGAGGGTTCAGATGATGGCTTCGTGGAAGACATGGATGGAATTGATGACATTGTACTGGATGACATTGGTCCTATTGAATTGTTTATCGAAGTGGTATGAAATGATACCGTTAAAAATTTGGAACGACTCGCGGCTAAACATGGTTTCAGTAAGTAATAACAATCAGAATTAAACGCTTTCAACATTTTTCTAAATATCTGAAATGCTATAAAAACATAATGTATATCTAGAATAATAATGAGCTGAAAACTAACGAAACTACATAAAAAGTAAAGAAACAAATACAATTACGATATGATTTGTGCTTTAAAACGAATATAAAAATCATACATAAAAATCACAATAGTGATTGTTTTCAAAAATGTATGAAAGAACAGGAACAATTAGATACAGATAAATCTCAAAATGGGGAATGTTTCACTGCATAGTTTGAAAAGAAAAAAAAACAATGGCTCTAAACTCAAAGTATGTTAAAATAAACAATGCTAACACTAAAAAGAATAGACTATTTTTATTATACATTTTGTAATCTGATTTGAGCATCTTCTCTACTATGAGAGAATTTTCATCTAGTTCGAAATTAAACACCAAATGTCATACCAGCTGCATTATATACGTTATAAATTTTTTCAATGGAATTTACATACGCTGCCGTGCGTAAATCAATACCAAGATTAAATTTTTGTGATGTACGCATTATGGCACGAGCCGATTTTTCCATTGTTTGTTCAAGACCAGAATGGACAATATCAACTTCGGAAGCACCAGCCATACGACTAAAAAATTCTTCACTTGGAACCTAGGAAGAAGTAAGAAAGATATTATGAGTAAGTAGTATAAAATATGAAAAAAACTTACAATAGGAATTTTTCCTCCCATTTTACCAAATTTTTTCTCTAATGAATCTTGTACACTCTCTAAATTGAAAGAAGTTAATAACTATAGATTTTAACTATAGATTCTTTTTGTACTAACCCAATAAACTGTAATTTGTATCTTTTTGATATTTAAATGTAAGACGTCCATATGATGCGTGATTAAGATTTTTTAACCATTCGAAATATGAAACAGTGACACCCCCAGCATTCTAAAATGAAATTAGATCAAAAGATTTAATCTTTCACAATATACAAATGTTATTCAAAAACCTACAATGTACATATCGGGAATAACTAAACAATTTTTTTCTAATAAAATTTTATCAGCAGCTGGTGTCGTTGGTCCATTAGCACCTTCAGCAATAATCTAAAACAGGCGTAAAAAAACACATAAGAAAATCTCATAGCCTGGTAAAAGTTAAAAAACTCGCTTTTGCTTGGATCCTTGGAGCATTTTTTGATGTTATCTGTTGCTCACTAGCTGCCGGTATTAGAATATCACATGGTTCGCATAATAATTCTTCTTTTGGTTTATCATATGCTGACGCACCGGGAAATCCATTGATTGTTCCATTATCAAGTTTATAATCTTCTAAATTTTTTGGATGAATACCGGCTGGATTTACAATAGCTCCATCCCATTCGAGTACACCGACGCAACGAGCACCGTGTCGCGTTAAATAACGCATTGAATGCAAGCCTACATTACCAAAACCCTATTGTGTGAGGAAAAATTAATATAATTTCTTTCATTATCAATGATCTCCTTTTTTACCTGTAGTATGAACGTTTTTCCTGCCAAACCAGTTGTTAAACCAATCATATCCCTGATAAACGACAGAAATATGCTTTAAACAGACGAAAGACAAGTAAAGAATTTACATACATGAATGATTTTTCATTCACAAAATTATTCACACCATGATACAATCCTCGTCCTGTGGCAGATATTCGACCATGTATTCCTCCTTGTAAGATTGGTTTTCCGGTTATACCTGAAAACACAAACTGATTATTAATACATATTTTATATTAACTATTTGTTTTCCATACATGCTGAGGCATTAATATTAGACCAACCAATGGTCGATGCATAAGTATCAGCAATCCAAGCCATTTCTCGTTCACCGGTGCCCATATCAGGTGCAGGAACATCGATACCAGGACCGATGAAACCCTTTTTAGCCAGTTCAACTGTTAAACGACGAGTAATCTTTT